CAGCACACACCAGCATGAGGTCCCCAGCAGAAAAGTCTGAGACAATTTCATCCCAGTTCATACAGGGAGCAAGAAAGCCTCTGCCATCCCACTAAACACTAGGCAATGAATCAACCCTCTGCTGTGCAGAACAGTATTGGTTTTAGTTTGTGCATTAGCTGATGCAGATATAGCACTGTGTCTTGGAAATCACTCTTAGCCCTTCCTCTGACCCACTGTGATGCTTATATAGTCCCTTGAGGGCCAGATCTCAGGCATCATATATTCACTGAGCTCCACTGACTTCTCAGCAACTACCCCAAGGGAGCGTGGGGCCCTACCCCTGTAGAGCACTGTGCCAATATTACTGGTCAGTAAATTATATAGAAATAAAGTAGGTGAGGTTATAGCTTTTATTGGACCAACTTCTGTGGGTGAGCGAGACAAGTTGCAGAGCTAGACAGAGCTTTTCTCCAGCATGGGGTATTACCTTTCTCACAGCTGAAGGGCTCTGTGTGACTAGAAAGCTTGTCTCTCTCTCTCCAGCGGAAGTAGGCCCAATACAAGATAAACCCTTGTCCATCTCATTTCTCTGATCCCCTGGCACCAACACCGCTCCGACACCTCGCACGGTAAATCTCAAAATCCACTTTCACTCGTGGAACCTCTCTCGGTTCACCGAGTGAGTGCAGAAAACTGGCAAGACTCTTGCTAAATGACCTCAGTTAGATGACAAGGTGGGATGTTGCTTGGTGCTGTGGAAATGAGCAGAGCTGTCGTACGTCTTTTCCCAGAGGCCCAAGTTTAGCTCAGGGTCACATGGGTGGCCCACACACCAGGATCAGCTATTCAACCCTGATTCACACACTACGCCTATCCTGGATCAGATTCCCAAGCACAGCGGAGGTATATCTGGATAGGGAGATTCAAACCACTCCCACCCCAGGAGGATTCAGGTGGCAAAAGCCAAGATACTGATTACCCTCTGATCCTCTGTTGTGTGACTATCAAGACCCTTCCCCTCCCCGGCAGGGAAAAACACCCCCTTCCTTTCTCCAGACCATATCACTGCAAATGCTCTTACGCACAATAGACCAGGAGTTCCTTTGCTGAGGTCCGACTGCTACCGCTGAGAGGGTTCCTTGCTGTGCACGTGTAGTTCCCTTGTAAGTCCAAGGACAGATTTTGCAGGGTGAAGACAGTGGAGGAGCCATTGACCTTGGTAAACATTTCTGGGGACAAACCGGGCTGCTGGAAAATCCACTCCATTGTGGGCTCTGGATGGGTGTCGCTGGCGGTGCAGCTGAAATGCACAGTGTTGTGTTTGTCTACGTATGCTGTGCCATTGGGCAGCAACGTGGAGGGGGAGATGCTGACAGTCACATTGCTGGGGCCACCTGAAAAGGGCAAGGAGACAACAGGACTGGGATGTGTAACAAAGCAGCTGTCCCAAAGCAGCCTAAAGTGCTACCTTACCGAATCCTAGGGTTTGAAAAGTCCTCAGGAGGTCATCAAGTCTAACCCCCTGCTAAAAGCAGGACCAACCCAACTAAATCAACCCAGCTAATGCACCCCAATATGCCATTAGCCTTCTTGGCTATCAGGGCACTCTGTTGACTCATATCCAGCTTCTCATCCACTGGAATCCCCACGTCCTTTTCTGCAAACTGCGGCTTAGCCAGTCAGGCAGTCTGCACTTGTCCTTGTTAAACCTCAGCAGATTTCTTTTGGCCCAATCCTCCAATTTGCCTAGGTCACTCTGGATCCTATCCCTACCCTCCAGCATATCTACCTCTCCCCTTAGCTTAGTGCCATCTGCAAACTTGCTGAGGGCGCAATCCATCCCCTCATTCAGGTCATTGATAAAGTTGTTGAACAACACCAGCCCCAGAACCGAACCTTGAGGCACTCCACTTGATACTGACCACCAACCAGACATTGAGGCTTACCTCTGGGCAAAGCCTGCCCAATATTTAGCTGGGGAATGCTGGTTACCTAGGGCCCCTCACGAGCTCTGAAGCGGGCACCCCCCAACGGTGCCTTTGTATGTTGTGTATGTCTACTTCCAATGGCTTTTAAAGACCTTATGGGAAAATGGACAGACACAAATCACCCTGATCTGCAGAAACCCCCAAAGCCAGGCCACAGGCCACCAAAATTTGAGTGCTTTTCTAGGCACCTGGCCAAAAAGCACCCTGTCAGCCTAGCCCTTCAGCAGCAAGCAGCTGAAGTTTCGCACTCCACATGAGCTCAGGACAGCTTGCAGGACAGGAGCCTAGGTCGTCAGCTTGCAGGATCAGGGTCTTTGCAATGAGCCCCTGGATCCTGATCCTGCTAGCCCTTTCCTGCTTGCTGCAAATGCCAGCTCTGTTTTCCACCCCAGATCAATGTGCAAACTGCAATTCAACAGTCGGAGCAAATTCCACAGTGCAGGGGGCGCAGGAAAAGCCATTTCTGGACTCCGTCCAGGGCTGCTGGGTTGGTCGCAATCAGGATTCAGTTTGTTTATGATTCAAATAGCGAAAGAACTGAATGCAGGTACAGCAAGTCAAGAGCCATCTAGATCGCTTCAGGGGATAAGAGGATGTGGTGGGGGAACACTGGACAGGGGGCTGCTCTCAGCAGTTGCTCTCTCCTTAGTTCAGGCCTATATGTTGCTTTCTTTAAGCTCCACATCCAGCCTGGTGCATTTCTAGCCCTCAAAACAGTAATCAAACAACTCCCCCTAGTAACAGTCTTGGGGATTTCAGGGTTAGCACACTGTGTCTCCACTACCAGCCTACACAACCTGACTCCTAATTCAAGAGCCGTTGCTGGCACAGGGACTGTCAAACAAAGCCCAGCACTACCGTCTGTACAGGCCCGAGCACAGGGGAAAGGCAATCCGAGTGCTGCTCTGCAAGGCACTGATCCAAGTGGCTTAAGAAATGACATAAATCCATCAGCAAAAACTACAACAACAGTTTACCTGCAACGCCCTTACCCGAAGCAGCTTCTAGGTAAGGAGTGTCTACTTCCTTTGGGCAGGAGCATGGACTTTTCCACTAAGCTGGTTCGGGAGGGTACAGAGTGTAGCAAACCCATAGCCTCCCTTTCCTCTCTGTTACACGGGGAGTTAGGTAGCAGTGTTAGGCTATCTGCTGTGACAGTTGTTTCTTTGGCTCAGAAATAGCATCAACCATGTATGCTAGGGAAAATGTTCACCCTGGTGTAGAACATGCCTGCTTAGAGAGCTCACAGCACTTTCTAAACACAAATATATTATGCCTCATTGGAGTCCTCTGCTGGAAGAATTATTATCTGTGTTTTAAACGGGGAAACTGAGGCAGGGACTCAGAGTCACACAGGGAATTAGTAGCAGAGCCAGGAACACAGCCTGAACCATCTCTGACTGATAAGAGAAGGCTTAGCCAGAGATCATTTGCATACTAGTATAAACAAACATTCGTTTTCTTTGGCTCGTTCACGTCCTACAAACATCTAGGGAAAAGCAGTTGGAAGCAGGTGAAAACTGCACCGTGCTTGGACCAGTTTCCATACTGCAAACCTATCCTTTCTTGGGATTTGGCTTTCTTGGTAACTCCAGTGACTCAGGATAAGCTTCCTTGCCAAAACTGGACATTTCTAGTTGTAGAAATTCCTCTGTCCCAGCTCAAGAGCCATTCTGACCTTTGCTGGAGTTAATATAACTGACCTGCCAGCACAAGTCATCAGAAATTACTCCACAACTTTATTCAGGGTCCAAGTACCTGAGTTTAGGGTGACTGCAGAAAAGTGCTGCATTTTGGTGCCGGGCCTTGTCTACATTGGCACGTTTTGTTGCCAAAAGCTGCCTTTTGATGACAAAACAGCGAGACCATTTACACTGCAATGCGACTTTTGTCGGGGAAAACACCTAGTTGTTGTGACAAAGAACTTCCACTCCCGTGAGAGACTTTTGTCTATTTCCCTACCTTTATTGTCAACAAAGAGCCAATGTGGACCCAGCTGTTTGTGTTGTTGAGAGAACTGGCTTCCCCCAGTATCCCACAATGCCTGCCCTGATGGCTTGGCTGAGTGTTTTGTGATCTCTGCTGCCCTGCAGTAGAGATGTCAACAAGTAGTCGACTAAACGATTAATCAATAAGACTAAATTTATCAATTAACATGCGTTTCCCCCCGCCCTTTGCTGGCTCTGTATCAGAGGCAGCAAAGGTGAGGAGGAAGCAGAAGCTGGTGCTGGGGGATGCCAGCTTAAAAGCTGGTTCCTCCGAGCACTGGCTCTGAAGTGCTGCCTGCCCCCTTTCCCATGCTGCTGCCTCTATCAGAGGCAGCAGCTGGGGAGGGGGGGGGGGATCGGGGAGGCCG